AGGCCTAGGGGGAACAAATCATCAAACCACACAGACTCCATTACAATCACAGTTTTTTCATCAGGCCTAGGGGGAACAAATCATCAAACCACACAGACTCCATTACAATCACAGTTTTTTCATCAGGCCTAGGGGGAACAAATCATCAAACCACACAGACTCCATTACAATCACAGTTTTTTCATCAGGCCTAGGGGGAACAAATCATCAAACCACACAGACTCCATTACAATCACAGTTTTTTCATCAGGCCTAGGGGGAACAAATCATCAAACCACACAGACTCCATTACAATCACAGTTTTTTCATCAGGCCTAGGGGGAACAAATCATCAAACCACACAGACTCCATTACAATCACAGTTTTTTCATCAGGCCTAGGGGGAACAAATCATCAAACCACACAGACTCCATTACAATCACAGTTTTTTCATCAGGCCTAGGGGGAACAAATCATCAAACCACACAGACTCCATTACAATCACAGTTTTTTCATCAGGCCTAGGGGGAACAAATCATCAAACCACACAGACTCCATTACAATCACAGTTTTTTCATCAGGCCTAGGGGGAACAAATCATCAAACCACACAGACTCCATTACAATCACAGTTTTTTCATCAGGCCTAGGGGGAACAAATCATCAAACCACACAGACTCCATTACAATCACAGTTTTTTCATCAGGCCTAGGGGGAACAAATCATCAAACCACACAGACTCCATTACAATCACAGTTTTTTCATCAGGCCTAGGGGGAACAAATCATCAAACCACACAGACTCCATTACAATCACAGTTTTTTCATCAGGCCTAGGGGGAACAAATCATCAAACCACACAGACTCCATTACAATCACAGTTTTTTCATCAGGCCTAGGGGGAACAAATCATCAAACCACACAGACTCCATTACAATCACAGTTTTTTCATCAGGCCTAGGGGGAACAAATCATCAAACCACACAGACTCCATTACAATCACAGTTTTTTCATCAGGCCTAGGGGGAACAAATCATCAAACCACACAGACTCCATTACAATCACAGTTTTTTCATCAGGCCTAGGGGGAACAAATCATCAAACCACACAGACTCCATTACAATCACAGTTTTTTCATCAGGCCTAGGGGGAACAAATCATCAAACCACACAGACTCCATTACAATCACAGTTTTTTCATCAGGCCTAGGGGGAACAAATCATCAAACCACACAGACTCCATTACAATCACAGTTTTTTCATCAGGCCTAGGGGGAACAAATCATCAAACCACACAGACTCCATTACAATCACAGTTTTTTCATCAGGCCTAGGGGGAACAAATCATCAAACCACACAGACTCCATTACAATCACAGTTTTTTCATCAGGCCTAGGGGGAACAAATCATCAAACCACACAGACTCCATTACAATCACAGTTTTTTCATCAGGCCTAGGGGGAACAAATCATCAAACCACACAGACTCCATTACAATCACAGTTTTTTCATCAGGCCTAGGGGGAACAAATCATCAAACCACACAGACTCCATTACAATCACAGTTTTTTCATCAGGCCTAGGGGGAACAAATCATCAAACCACACAGACTCCATTACAATCACAGTTTTTTCATCAGGCCTAGGGGGAACAAATCATCAAACCACACAGACTCCATTACAATCACAGTTTTTTCATCAGGCCTAGGGGGAACAAATCATCAAACCACACAGACTCCATTACAATCACAGTTTTTTCATCAGGCCTAGGGGGAACAAATCATCAAACCACACAGACTCCATTACAATCACAGTTTTTTCATCAGGCCTAGGGGGAACAAATCATCAAACCACACAGACTCCATTACAATCACAGTTTTTTCATCAGGCCTAGGGGGAACAAATCATCAAACCACACAGACTCCATTACAATCACAGTTTTTTCATCAGGCCTAGGGGGAACAAATCATCAAACCACACAGACTCCATTACAATCACAGTTTTTTCATCAGGCCTAGGGGGAACAAATCATCAAACCACACAGACTCCATTACAATCAGTTTTTTCATCAGGCCTAGGGGGAACAAATCATCAAACCACACAGACTCCATTACAATCACAGTTTTTTCATCAGGCCTAGGGGGAACAAATCATCAAACCACACAGACTCCATTACAATCACAGTTTTTTCATCAGGCCTAGGGGGAACAAATCATCAAACCACACAGACTCCATTACAATCACAGTTTTTTCATCAGGCCTAGGGGGAACAAATCATCAAACCACACAGACTCCATTACAATCACAGTTTTTTCATCAGGCCTAGGGGGAACAAATCATCAAACCACACAGACTCCATTACAATCACAGTTTTTTCATCAGGCCTAGGGGGAACAAATCATCAAACCACACAGACTCCATTACAATCACAGTTTTTTCATCAGGCCTAGGGGGAACAAATCATCAAACCACACAGACTCCATTACAATCACAGTTTTTTCATCAGGCCTAGGGGGAACAAATCATCAAACCACACAGACTCCATTACAATCACAGTTTTTTCATCAGGCCTAGGGGGAACAAATCATCAAACCACACAGACTCCATTACAATCAGTTTTTTCATCAGGCCTAGGAGGAACAAATCATCAAACCACACAGACTCCATTACAATCACAGTTTTTTCATCAGGCCTAGGGGGAACAAATCATCAAACCACACAGACTCCATTACAATCACAGTTTTTTCATCAGGCCTAGGGGGAACAAATCATCAAACCACACAGACTCCATTACAATCACAGTTTTTTCATCAGGCCTAGGGGGAACAAATCATCAAACCACACAGACTCCATTACAATCACAGTTTTTTCATCAGGCCTAGGGGGAACAAATCATCAAACCACACAGACTCCATTACAATCACAGTTTTTTCATCAGGCCTAGGGGGAACAAATCATCAAACCACACAGACTCCATTACAATCACAGTTTTTTCATCAGGCCTAGGAGGAACAAATCATCAAACCACATGTCTGACGGAGTCTTGTTGTCAAAAAAAGGCAACTTACTTTCCAATTCTGATCAGATAAGTCTTGTTGTCAAAAAAAGGCAACTTACTTTCCAATTCTGATCAGATAAGTCTTGTTGTCAAAAAAAGGCAACTTACTTTCCAATTCTGATCAGATAAGTCTTGTTGTCAAAAAAAGGCAACTTACTTTCCAATTCTGATCAGATAAGTCTTGTTGTCAAAAAAAGGCAACTTACTTTCCAATTCTGATCAGATAAGTCTTGTTGTCAAAAAAAGGCAACTTACTTTCCAATTCTGATCAGATAAGTCTTGTTGTCAAACAAAGGCAACTTACTTTCCAATTCTGATCAGATAAGTCTTGTTGTCAAACAAAGGCAACTTACTTTCCAATTCTGATGAGATCAGTCTTGTTGTCAAAAAAAGGCAACTTACTTTCCAATTCTGATGAGATAAGTCTTGTTGTCAAAAAAAGGCAACTTACTTTCCAATTCTGATGAGATCAGTCTTGTTGTCAAAAAAAGGCAACTTACTTTCCAATTCTGATGAGATAAGTCTTGTTGTCAAAAAAGGCAACTTACTTTCCAATTCTGATGAGATAAGTCTTGTTGTCAAAAAAAGGCAACTTACTTTCCAATTCTGATCAGATAAGTCTTGTTGTCAAAAAAAAGGCAACTTACTTTCCAATTCTGATGAGATAAGTCTTGTTGTCAAAAAAAGGCAACTTACTTTCCAATTCTGATCAGATAAGTCTTGTTGTCAAAAAAAGGCAACTTACTTTCCAATTCTGATCAGATAAGTCTTGTTGTCAAAAAAAGGCAACTTACTTTCCAATTCTGATCAGATAAGTCTTGTTGTCAAAAAAAGGCAACTTACTTTCCAATTCTGATCAGATAAGTCTTGTTGTCAAAAAAAGGCAACTTACTTTCCAATTCTGATCAGATAAGTCTTGTTGTCAAAAAAAGGCAACTTACTTTCCAATTCTGATCAGATAAGTCTTGTTGTCAAAAAAAGGCAACTTACTTTCCAATTCTGATGAGACAAGTCTTGTTGTCAAAAAAAGGCAACTTACTTTCCAATTCTGATCAGATAAGTCTTGTTGTCAAAAAAAGGCAACTTACTTTCCAATTCTGATGAGACAAGTCTTGTTGTCAAAAAAAGGCAACTTACTTTCCAATTCTGATCAGATAAGTCTTGTTGTCAAAAAAAAGGCAACTTACTTTCCAATTCTGATGAGATAAGTCTTGTTGTCAAAAAAAGGCAACTTACTTTCCAATTCTGATCAGATAAGTCTTGTTGTCAAAAAAAGGCAACTTACTTTCCAATTCTGATCAGATAAGTCTTGTTGTCAAAAAAAGGCAACTTACTTTCCAATTCTGATCAGATAAGTCTTGCTGTCAAAAAAAGGCAACTTACTTTCCAATTCTGATCAGATAAGTCTTGTCAAAAAAAGGCAACTTACTTTCCAATTCTGATGAGATCAGTCTTGTTGTCAAAAAAAGGCAACTTACTTTCCAATTCTGATGAGACAAGTCTTGTTGTCAAAAAAAGGCAACTTACTTTCAAATTCTGATCAGATAAGTCTTGTTGTCAAAAAAAGGCAACTTACTTTCCAATTCTGATGAGATAAGTCTTGTTGTCAAAAAAAGGCAACTTACTTTCCAATTCTGATGAGATAAGTCTTGTTGTCAAAAAAAGGCAACTTACTTTCCAACTCTGATGAGATAAGTCTTGTTGTCAATAAAAGGCAACTTACTTTCCAATTCTGATCAGATAAGTCTTGTTGTCAATAAAAGGCAACTCACTTTCAAATTCTGATGAGATAAGTCTTGTTGTCAAAAAAAGGCAACTTACTTTCCAATTCTGATGAGATAAGTCTTGTTGTCAAAAAAAAGCAACTTACTTTCCAATTCTGATCAGATAAGTCTTGTTGTCAATAAAAGGCAACTCACTTTCAAATTCTGATGAGATAAGTCTTGTTGTCAAAAAAAGGCAACTTACTTTCCAATTCTGATGAGATAAGTCTTGTTGTCAATATCATAAACATTGACCACCCTCATGCCCAGGTACCTGAAAGAAAATGTCCAATAGGTCAGCAAGATTCTCCTCATTCAGTTGTGTACTGTAGACATTTGGTATCAGTTGTGTAGTGTAGACATTTGGTATCAGTTGTGTAGTGCAGACTGTGTGACTGACAAAAGTTTGTATCAATGTAGATCTAGACTGTGTGACTGACAAAAGTTTGTATCAATGTAGATCTAGACTGTGTGACTGACAAAAGTTTGTATCAATACATTACAACGAGAACAACATACATTACGACTAGAACAACATACATTACGACTAGAACATACATTACGACTAGAACAACATACATTATGACTAGAACAACATACATTTTAACTAGAACAACATGCATTATGACTAGAACAACTTACATTATGACTAGAACAACATACATTATGACTAGAACAACATACATTACGACTAGAACAACATACATTACGACTAGAACAACATACATTATGACTAGAACAACATACATTGTGACTAGAACAACATACATTATGGCTATGACTTCTATTTAGAGCAGTAGTCAGACAGACATTGTATAGAGAATTACCTCTGGAGTTATGTGTCACCCCCCCCCCCCCTCTATTTAGAGCAGTAGTCAGACAGACATTGTATAGAGATTTACCTCTGAAGTCATGTGTCACCCCCCCCCCCTCCCCTCTATTTAGAGCAGTAGTCAGACAGACATTGTATAGAGATTTACCTCTGAAGTCATGTGTCACCCCCCCCCCCCTCTATTTAGAGCACTAGTCAGACAGACATTGTATAGAGATTTACCTGTAGAGTTATGTGTCACCCCCCCCCCCCCTCCATTTAGAGCACTAGTCAGACAGACATTGTATAGAGATTTACCTCTGGAGTTCCTGTATTATGACAGCCAGATCCAGACTGCTAAAACGACTCTTCATTGTGTAGAGCTCAGTTCACTACAGGAAGATGATAAGTGTATTAGACAAAACTGGACATGGAAAGACCAGTGTATTAGACAAAACTGGACATAGAAAGACCAGTGTATTAGACAAAACTGGACATGGAAAGACCAGTGTATTAGACAAAACTGGACATAGAAAGACCAGTGTATTAGACAAAACTGGACATGGAAAGACCAGTGTATTAGACAAAACTGGATATTGTGATTTAGTTATCTGTGGGTGCAATTGTATGTAGGCTACATTGTGGGAGATTTTTCAGGAAATTCTTGTTTGTGCATTTTTTCTTTTAATGCATTTTTCTATGTGCATTTTTGGTGAGTGTTTTTATGGTCATCTAATTTTCTTGTTAAATGTTGTCTTGATAATGATTAGGCCGAATTATCTAAAAATATATTATTAGGCCGAATTATCTAAAAATATATTATTAAGTCTAGGCCTAAATAAATAGTAGGCCTAAATAATGAAATATTCAATAGACCCATGTCTAGATATATAAATAAATAATAATCAATCATGATAGACCTAGAATCTATATTCACTCACTACAACAGGCCTAGGACATTATTACTTAGTGAAAATGAGGCCTAAGTACTAACTACTAAGTTTAGTAATAGCATGCTAAGTATATACTATAGGCCTATACAGCAGTATAGCTGAGTACACTCAGGTATAAGAGGGCCGATTGTAGGAAAAAAAGTCACAGGAAAGAAAGTCACAAATATATATTTGCATGATATTTGTTAATACATTTATGTATTAAATATTTAGAGAGCGCAAATTAACTTAGGATTAATTAAATGTAATGTAATGTGTGTAGGCTGTATACGCATAGGCATTTTTATAATTCATCTAAAAATATTTATTATGAAGTATGTAGATTGTAATTATTTTAAACTTAAAATTAGTAGCATTTAATAGAATGCTCCAACGTCCACGTTTTTCATTGTGTTTTTTTTTAAAGACCAATATTAAATTACCGTGAAATGGTAAGTTCATCTGACTTGCTGCCCTCAACTCATGGCAACAATAGTTATGTTTAGTTCAACCACCTTTACTGCCCACATTTATCACGCTCATTACATAACAAAACTTAGAATCAAAACAGAAAGCCGACAAGGTTCAAAGGGTGTCATTGACACAAAACGTCAACAACACAAAATATGTTCGGACAATGCCTATTGAGGAGAGACCAACCAGAGAATAGCCTACGGCAAAATGTGCCTAAATTTCTTTTATAATTAACTTTTCTACCGCGTATTTAACTAAATACGTAACAAAAGTTGAGATTGTTGTGTTAATTATCTTAGAGTATTTTTACTTACAATTGTTATAAATCATAATGCTTTTAACGTCTATAAATAATTTATGCTATCAAAAAATACAACCCACAACAATAAACATAAAAAGTTTTACAATTCTTAATAAATTTAAAAAAATATTTCTAAAAAGATTTTTGTGACTTTTTTCTGTGACTTTATTTCTGTGACTTTTTTTCCGATAAAATTTTTCCACTGTGACTTTCTTTCTGACTTTTTTTCCTAGCAAAGACTGTGACTTTTTTTCTGTGTTTTTTTTTTCTTACTTCTTACTTAAGTACACTAGTGAGTAAATAGTCAGTGTCACTAGACTAGATTACTAGAAGTTAGTTCATTTTAATAGACGTCTATTTCATTACTCTAGTTATAGTTATTTTTACAAGTTTTTATTTAGTTTGCAACATCTGTTTGTTTGTTATTCAATAACATTAACAGAAGGGGAGATAACTAGCTAGATTGCTAGATGCTATCAACCAACATGTCTGGTGAGCTGTGTTAGACACCGAATGTTTACAATCGCGGAGACAGTCGAACTAGTGAAGGCTATTAGGGGCAGGTAAAATAAATTAAAAAAACTTGCTGTCATCTGTTAAATATGGTCACGGACCGCTGCTTTCACGGGGCAGATAATTGTCTTTTAGATATGGCCATCTACTAGTGGTGTTTTAAAAGCAAACATTTTTGTTCGTGTCGACTTCATAAATTAGGAATCACTAAAAAGTAGAAAATAAAACAAATAGGCCTATAAAATCCTTTCTAATGGCAGGCTTTAAAAAGTTTTAAAAGCACTGACAATAAGAAAATAAAACTAGATCTAGATATCTAGATCTAGATCTAATCTAGAATCTAGATTCTAGTAACTTTAAATGCTTTGGTTACTCATGAAATCTTTTAGTCTTTTAGTGAGGGCCTAGAATCTAGATTTAGCCTAGGCCCTACATAATACTACATATTTTAAAATATTTTAATTTTAGCAATCACAGCTTTGAATTTTTATGGAAGACTTTCAGAAAGAAAGCAAACTAGTTTTATTTTCTTATTTTTAGTGCATTTAAAAGCTTGCTATTAGATCTAGATGTTTTTTATTTTTTTTGTAATTGATCGTTTTAGGTACATACAGTCCTATTTTAAGTATTTTACAATTTTAGTCATGTGGGAAAAAAGTGACATTAACATTAAATTTGGTAATCTATCGTTTTAGTTACGTAAAATCGCCCACGACTAGTAATGTGAAAAACAGGTGACTCCTTAAATTTTAATAATTATTTCACATTTTGAGGAGGATTTATGTTTAGAAAAATACAAAAATGTTTCCTTGTTTCATTTAGGCCCCTAAGTACCTGTTTTCAAACAATTGAATTCAAACTTTACAGTAATACATGAAGACTAGCAATGTTTCCAACAAATGCAACCATGCTCATTTACTATAGCAGCCATCTTGTTTAAGTTTGTTTTTTTGTAAACTTATAGCGTGAGATTCAGGGGAAACCACTCTATTTTACAAATGGCTGCTGTTTATATAGTAATAAATAGTATATAGTAGGCCTATAGCAAATCTTGCTTGCAAACACTGCTGTTTAAAATTAATTTCTGGCCTATATTGATATATGGCCTATGCTAGCCGGAAAAAGATACGCATGCGCAATGGAGAGAAACTACGACTTGCCTTCGCTGCGATGTTTTCAATTGTACTGCGCACGCGTGTGTTTACAACCACAGAACCCTAGCCCTAACCCTATCCCCAACATTAGCCCCAACCCTATCCCCAGAGGCGTATCCAGGTTTTCGTTGTAGGGGCAGCGAAAAGAGCAAAAAAAAGACGCCGAATTTTTAACACGTTCTTCTATATACTTGTATTATATATATACATATATATATATATATATATATATATATATATATATATATATATATATATATATATATATATATATATATATATATATAATTACTAGCTGTATGTCATTACTTCGCTATGATGTAAAATAAATTGAAAGTAGCACTCTGAAGAAATAAGAAAAAACACACAATGTAGGCCAACAAAACAAAAAGTGTATCAATCTAAACAAAAAAAAAAATATATATATATATACACACACTCAACCAAAAACAATGAGCGCAACACAATCTGTTTTGTAATTCTTGTAAAAAAAATTTCTTACATAATAATTCCTGGGAAATTATTTAAGACAAGTGAAATAGGGGAAATAATCACTCTCTTAATATAAATATGTATATATCTACACATTTAATTATAAATGTCAAAACAAATAAATAATTACTTTAGAATATAATGAAATTGTGTAACACTATTCGTGTTTACAAAATGTTTTTGTCTATAATCAGAATTTAAAATATCGTCATCATAAATGCTAAAGTATTACAGTATAATGAAAGTTTTTTAAATCAGAGTTAGTATAAAACCAAGCTTTTAGATACAATAGAAAAACATTCGGAATAACAACCTACATTTAACTAATTATCGGTCTATTAGTTCAGTTCATATATTTTAATTAACTACTGCTTCTTTTTGTTCTTTAAAGATCATTTTTTAACATAGTGATAGGCATGGGAAGATAACCAACTCAGAGTGAACATAGCGTCAGTTTTAGATGACTGTTCTAAACATACATATATATTACACAAATATATATTACACAAAAATATATTACAGAAATAGATTTAAATAAGTAGCAGTGGTTTTATGACAATATTTTTTTTACAGAGGAGTTCATGGGGGAGGGGGGTTGTAACTGTTTCATATAATTTGTAACCGTAATCACTATCGCCCAAACTGTAAGAATACTACTACTTCATCATGCTGACGTTGTTGACCTTGTCAAAATTTCCCCACCACTACGCAGTTTGCTCATAAGTAAATTTAAATAGAGGTGCCACATCAGTTGTATTTGTTTCTGTATTATAATTTTTTTTAAATTAATCACACGATTCAAATTGTATATATAAAGTAATTATGTGTGAAGTTTTATGTATAACATTTTCTAATTCAATTATTCGTAAGAAAATACATATTACAGTTGCCTTAAACTTAACACCCCTCTTGCCAAGTGGTACTTCCGTAGAGGTTTTTTAAACATTGCAATGCATCGTAATGGTTATTTTTAGAATGGCAAACTGATGCCGCTGTTAATATGTGTTGTAAACGTAGACACTACTAGACTAGTACAATAATGCTTAATTGCTGCATGAAAAGAAATATTGTGATTTACATAGATGTGCCGACCAAAAATATTTTTTTTAACAAACAGCATTGTTTAAAACTTTGAGTTTAAAAAGTTTCCAAAAAGGCGCCACTTTGCTGAAAATGGCCAGAGGGGGAGCGGCCGCTCCCCCTGCGTACGCTACTGCCTATCCCCAACCGTAACCCTAGCCCCAACCCTAACCGTATCCCTAATCCTAGCCCTAACCCTATCCGTAACCATAACCCCAGCCATATGTCACTGCGTATGCGCAGAACTTTCTTTTGTCGACTAGGTGGAGATGTTGGAACAAAAAATCTTTTTCCGATTAGTCACTTCGTTGATATATTTAGCCATTGATTTAGGTATATTATATTATTCATTTATCTATAATATTTGATACAAATATTTCACAATATACTTCTCTTAAAGCCTTGACAATGAGGTAACTTTTTCGTACATTACTAGCCGCGGGCGATTTTACGTACGAAAAAGTTACCTCATTGTCAAGGCTGTAATAAAGTGTAATAGAAGTATATTGTGATATATTTGTGTCAAATATTATAGATAAATGAATAATAAACCTAATTCAACGGCTAAATATATCAATGTATGCTAGAAATTAACTTTAAACAGCAGTGTTTGCAAGCAAGATTTGCAATATAAACAGCAGTCATTTGTAAAATAGTGTGGCTTCCCCCTGAATCCGCTATAAGTTTACAAAAAAAAACGTAACCAAGATGGCTGCTATAGTAAATGAGCATGGTTGCATCTGTTGGAAACATCACTAGTCTTCATTTATTAAAAGTTTTAGCCTAATTCAATTGTTTAAAAACAGGTACATGAATGACACAAGGAAACATTTTTGTATTTTTCAAAACATAAATCCCTCCTCAAAATGTGAAATAATTACTTAAAATTTAAGGAGTCACCTGTTTTTCACATTACTAGATCTAGTTTCGGGCGATTTTACCTTTACGTACCCAAAACGATAGATTACTAAGATTAGGCCTACCAAAATTTCTAGATCTAGTCTAGGGTTTTACTCGTAGTCGTAGTCATGTGGGCCTACCTGTTTTTATACAAATGTATTTAAAACAAAATTTCAGTAGCCTAATCAATAAACTTGTGATGTTTTCACCAGATGCAATCAAGCTTATTTATTATTTACTTTAGCAGCCATATTGTTTAATTTTTAAAAAATTTTCTTTGAAAAATTAATAATTATGGTTAGAGATTCAGGGGCAACCACTCTAATTTATAGATTGCCGCTATTTATACAGGAAATCATGCTTGCAAACACGACACTGTTTTTTAAAGTTAATTCTGCTCTATAATTGATATACCTAGCAATTGCTTTTGATTTATTATTCAGTTATAGAATCTACGTAAAATTAGGCATTCCGACTTCCGCTGTTTCGATTCGGTATTCAACATCCGGACTTTTTGATGCAGTCTTTATAAAAACTCGCCCTTTTCCGAAGAATGCCGAATCTCACTGTTGGAATCGAGTTTTTAGAAATATTCGATATAGATATTCTAGTGTAGTCGTATTATATGTTTCAATTAGAAAATTACCGCCATTATGACAATCTTTAAGCCGAAATCGATCGCACGATTCTAATGAGTTTATCTCGCGAACATGTCCTGTACGGTGCTGTCACATTTTAAATAAGTTTACGTATTAAACACATTATAAGTGTCTTGCCATTAGTTGTAAGTGTCCATTAAATAAACAAATATTATTATAATAACGGTTTTATGGCACTTACTACTTCTGCTTACGAGTTATCATACATGTCAAATCCCCGAGCAAGCGGTTCGGCCTTGACAACGCCATGGCGTCGGTTTAGCACCGCATTACCTATTATCGATAAAATATGCGCACTAATGCCAATGGCGTAGTTTTCGAAGTTGGAAAGAATTTAAATTGTGGGTGGCATTGTTAAAACTAGATAAAATACATTGATCAAGTTATCTATTAAAAACGACAGGCAAGAAGCTTAGGCTTACATTAACTAATGTCAAGCATTTCACACATATCTACTTACTTAGATTTAAGGCTAATACTAATAGCCTTTAATTACTTTTTAATATACTATTATACTTTACTTTATACTATAAATAAGTTATACTATAGGCCTATTTCTTAGTATAACTAATGCTATATACTATATGTATCGATAGATAAAGTAAGTCTGGGCCTATTATTGGTTATGATAAGTAAAGAAGCTCGGTGATAAACTTATTTAATTATTTATGCTTATGACATTAGTAAATAATAAACAAAAGGTGCAGCAATTGACATGGGGGGGGTACTAATTAATAAGGCAGTGAATTTAGAATGACATGAAAAAGGCATGATAATTATTATTCATAATAATTTAGGATACAATTTTTACATTTAATAATAAAAAGTAACAAAAAACAAATAACAACAAACAATACGGATTTAAATCACTGCATGTTGCCAATATATATATATTCATATAAGCAGATAGACAGGGAATCTGTAACTTCTGATTTGGTACAACTTAACACTTAGCTTAATAAACTTTTACAAGAATTTAAGGTTTTTCTATTGATTAGTAATTTAGATGAACCAAAATATCAATAGGGCCTTATAAAGGCCCTAGTATATTAAAGTAGTTTCCCTTTTGGACCTGTCAATCCATCATCCATAAAGCAGCTGAAGTAGAGTTTATCTGTTTCTTGATCACCATGAAGTGATGGTGTGGTTAGCTCTCTGCCAAGCTATCTTTACTTTCCCTTGGGTCAGGTACTCATCTGAGCTTGGTGGATGCTGCACGCTGCACAGACAGACTCGTCTGAGATCTGAGCTTAAGACTTGCATGTTAGTAGTTGAGTGCTTTACCACACGATCCCTAGTTTTATTTTTCAGCATTCTTCTTATTACATGCTTCAGTATCAATAACCAAAATGTATCCTATCTATTATAGTAACATTCTGGACATACGTCCGTTGCAGTCACTATAATTACTATAAAAGGGTGCAACACCCTTTCATAGGACTTTTTAATTATATGCAGTCATACTTAATATAATTTTTTTCTATATTTCTATTGCCCCCACCCTCTAGCAAAGTTTCAATTTTAATATTTAAAAAAAAAACATAGACTTTCAGTCTGCATATTGACCTATATAGAACAGCACCCCTCACTTTAATTTGACTTGATTAGTTCTAATTATCCTTCATCAAATTTTGATTTTACTTTCATATTTCTATTGCCCACACTCTCTAGCACTAATGTGCAAAGTTTTATAATTTTATCTCAAATAGCAGCAGTGGTATGCAAGCCTAAAGCCAATCACACAATTAAATCCGATGTTACAGTGATATATAACAAGTTTAATACATAACTTTAAAAATTCATATAAAAAAAACTATTAGGCCTAGAATGATAAATTTGGTATTTTTATCAATGGGGTATATTATAGGATTAATCTGTGTACATTTTAACATTCTATGGTAATTAGGAAAAATATCCCAACATTCCTACGTAAAATCACGATATAGCGTCGGAAATTATTGGGCATTATTTTTATATTAATTGGGTAATGTTTGTTGAGTTTTGGTAACATTCGTTACTGTAAACCATAGTTTATTTGACCGTTGAAATAAAAATATAGTCAAGTGCATTTCATTAAATTAATGTTTTAACTTAATTTAATGTTTAATTGACAAAAAAAATTAGGGTAAAACCTTAGTTTAGTGTCGGTTATTATTCCGGAATCGTATAACAGTAAAAAACAGTAAAACAATGCCAAAGTCTGTCAAACACTTCCGGAATTCATCGGGAGTACTGTAAACCAAAATTAATTAATTTAATAATTTAGTGTCATCTTTTATAATTATTCTGAATCTTTAAAATTTGGATAGATTTATTTTTGTAATCATTTTTACATTTTGTAATCATTTTTACTATTTTCGTAATCTAGATTTTTTTTCTGGGCCTAGCAGCTAGCTAGATTTAGATTCTAGATTGATTAGGCCGTAGTTATTAATTAATGGTCGCAAATCCGCTGCAAGTCAAAAACATGAAACACATTAGGCCCTATTACATTTGATTTTATTATTTATATTTATATATTTTATTTTTAGATCTACTAATTTAAATCTACTATTATATTTATACCTGTTTCCTTTAGTCGATTAAACTTAAACTATTTATTAAAACATTTATTTACTACAATCGACTTTCACTTTATTTTTATTTCAATTGTCAACTTTAGTTACCGAATCTCTACAAACATTACCCAATAATTTCCTACGCTAAACTAAGGTTTTACCAAAATTAGCAACAATAAGTAAATCTAAATATTATTAATAAAGTCGAGTGTAGTAGATTCTAATTAATGTTTTTTTTTTTAAGAGACAGAAAAACCTGCAGAAGATTTGCGACAACTAGCTCTAGTTCTGTTAGTAAAATAAGACGATTAGATTTACTAAAGTTAAAGTAGTAAGAAGAAATAGAACAATGTTTAGTAGCAGCAGTAATTAGCACATACACTTAAAATAATTAGAAATGCAAAATAATTAGCAAAATAGTATTTAAAATGCAACTAAAATCAATCCTTGCACATTTTTAAACATTATGTATTAAAAATAATATGGCGGCAAATAAATGATGGTTTACAGTATTTCCGGTGGTTTCCGGAACGGCTCGACAGACTACGCCAGGGGTTCTCAACCCTGTGCCTGCCGAACGATTCGTAAGTGCCCGCCTCTCACTATTCGACAGAGACAGATTTTTTTCATAAACATTATTGAAAGGTTGAAGGGGGGTGCAAATCGAAAGTTTGAGGGGGTGGGGGTGCAAACAGAAAGTTTGAGGGGGGGGGGGGGGGGGGGGGTGCAAATAGAAAGTTTTGTCCCCGGGTGCCGGGAAGGCTCGCTACGCCTCTGGAAGGAGTTTGTCGATGATTTAAAATAGGTGGTGCCCGCCTCCCTACCAATATTTTAGAATGTGCTCTAGAGTAAAAAAAAAAGGTTGGGAACCCCTGGATTACGCCATGGTTTTACTGTTTTGTTTACTGCTGTACAGTATATATCGTGATTTTACCCAGTTATATATTATAGTTGACACAAATATATCACAATTAAATCTATACTTGTATATCGTCTTAAAAATGAGGCTAATTTTTTCATTTTACTAGCCTCTGCCGATTTTACGCACCTAAACAAATAGATAACCCCAAATTTTACAAGCGTTTATTGCACTCACTGTCTCTGTCGTCAGTATATCTGGATCGAAACGCCCGAGCGAAATTTCGGGCACTTCTAACTGATAGATTCGATTCAAGTTGGCACGTGGGTCAAGACATGAAGACAAACACAATCTGACATTAAATTTGACTTACTTAATTGGATACCTAATTAATTCTATTATGAATTAATTAAAATTCTGTCCAAATAAGTAGGCAGTCTCATTCAACTATTATACATGCGTTATCACTTTTCATACTTCTTAGTTATACAATTCTATTTTAAATTTTTAAAATTTAAAGTAATGAAAAAAAATGAACCGTAGTGATCTCCCCTAAATTTTCTTTAATATTCATATATAACACTGCGGTGGATGACAACTCGGGATATAGAAATGATTTAAAATCCATTTTTAATTACTTACACTTTTTAAAATAGAATAGAATGTCGTAGAAAAAAAGAAAAGAATTGCGCACCAAGTGAACTCCCAACAATGTGTATAATAGTGCGCAATATTATTTGTACTTTATAAATTCACATGCGTTTTTTTTTTTAGAAATCGGAAATAGCGTAAATTACTACTTCCGGTCCACGGGAATTACTCAAAATGTGACAGAATGCAGAAAAGTAGATATTTTACTTACTTGTGAAATTTCGTCCATCTTCATCTATCTGAAACAGTACTCAAATTATAGGCTTTTGAAAAATTGAAAATAGAATAAATAAGTTCTACTTACAATTACGGAAATCGCTGAAAAGTTGATATAGAACTACAAATTTGATATTATACTTTTATGGGGGTCGTCCATAAACGACGTCAGACTTGTAGGGGTAGGGTGGGGGGTCCGTAATTTTGTGACGGTGTGTGATGAGGGGGAGGGGGGGGGGGTCAGATGGTGCGACGTCACACTTTTGCATTATAAAAAAAGCAAGGTTAGAAAACGAATTTTAGACGTTATTTCGCGTTTTAGATAACTGTTGTAATAAATTGTAATAGGAATTGACT